AAGAGTGCCACCCCAGCTGCCCCACTCTCCAATACTTACTTACACACACAGACTTACACACACACACACACACACACACACACTGTAACAGCATGGGCCCTCCTTAGACTGTTATGGGATGAAGAAATAAACTGATTGTCCTTACATGTTTGGATCTATTTGTTACTGCAGCCAAACCTACTCTAACCAGTCGAGGATCATCTGAAATTAACACCAAGCATTTTCCTTCTTCCCCTACATTACTAACCGGAATTGGTAACAGAAAGTCCTCTAAAACTTACAGGTTACAGACCTCAATGGACAAGATGAAGATACTAACTGCCTCCAATTCCTGGAGGGCAAGACTGTGAAATAACCACTTAAAAAGATAAACCAATCTAGGTATCTCTCTAGTGCAAGGTACCTGACCGGAGAGACTGCTCAGAACAAGGGCCACAGAGGGCAGTCCTGCTACTAACTCGCCGAGTGCCAGAACCTCATCGTGTTAGCTCCCCAAGAGCCTCCCCTTTTCTCTCCGGGGCTCTGTGAGGACAGACAGGCGGGCACTTTCCCTCTCGTGTTTCCAACGGAGGCAGCAGGGCTGTGCCGCTATGTGATGACAAAGGTCCACAGCTCAAGTCACAACCAAGGGCCCAATTTAAACAGTTACTGGAGTTACCACCCAACCTGAGCACTGTAGCAAGTATTCATTCGAGCCAGGAAGCAACCCGCGATAATAAAACCACCTCTTGCGTCTCTGAGATACTTGTAATGATCATCTGCATCACTACATACTCGCTATGTCTCATATGCAAATTGTACCCCTCCTGCGGTATGTTTCACCATTACTGTATTATTGTCAACTGTGTTGGGAAATAGGCCCTCCCTGCTGGACTGAAAGGTCTGTGGTCTGGTGGGAGGAGGGAGGAGCGAGGGACTCACGCAGCCCGGCACCCAGCACACACTGTTCCGTGAGTGACTGCGATTAAACTAACAAACACACAGTCACAGCGCTGCTTAGCTCGATAGAAGTTTGCTTCTTCCGTGGCTCCGAACCACGCCCCCCGCCCCCCCCCCCGCCCCCCCGGCACCTCACAGCTCACAGGTGCTTCGTAGCTGCTGAAAGTCCTTCACATGTGCCCACGGGACCTTCACACATGCTCCGCAGGGCCCCCGATTTCGCGGGGGCTCAGGGAGGCCTGCTTCAAGTCACAAGGCAGCTTGCAGGTGATGGCACGTAGGTCTTCTGACTCCCCAGGGGCAGTGTCCTTTCTCCTGTCACAGTCTGCCTTCCAATCCAGAAAGGTCTAAAGCAGCTTCTAAAAACTTCAGGTTTAATTTTTAGATCACTTTTTTTTTTTTTTACTCACTGTGAAATGTCATAACCAGAGATTTAATAAGCAAGTACTAGGAAACGTTAACAGTAAGGAAAACATCACTTAATACAGTAAGCTCAAAATGGAAAAACTTCACAACAGTTTGTCCCCATCAGCACTACAAGAAATAAACACAGAAAGAAAACACTACGGGCCTGGCTCCTATGACACAGGTCCCTCCGATCACCACATCCTGCTTCTCTCTAAACCCCAAAGGCCTAGGCGTCAGGCTTCATCTTCCTCGGATCCCCTCATGCCCCGCAAATACCTGCTCCTCCCGAGAGACAGCACTCGCTTGCTACAGCACACGAGGACGGAGAGGCAGGTGTCTCACAAGGAAACGAAGGAAGAGTAAACGAACAGGAAAACAAGACAATGACGGCTATTTACAGACCAGAATATATTTCTATATATTTGAGAGGCATGTTGTGCTGTCCATTCATTCCACGACCACGTTTAAGTATTTAAGTATCTACTCTGTCCCAGATTCATTATATAAACACGGAGCACACAAAACGGGAAAGATTCTGCCTGCCATAAGGCAGTGCACAAAACACACACAAGGTGTGTGACATAAGGCAGTATAAATGTTGCACAAACACACGCATGAAGCGCTGCGGTAGGAAGGGGGACAGCGTAGCGAGGTTGAAAAGGGCTTTACGATGTGTTCTGCCTCGAAACAGGAGTAGGATTCGGTAAGGCAGGAGACACGGTATGTGCAAAAAACACAGAGAAACAGCACAGACTTGGTGTAGCTGGAAGTCGAATTTCATTAGAACACCAAGTTCACGGATGGGGAACAAGGCTGGCAAAGGAACCTGGAGGCAGATTGTAAAGGTCCTTAAATATAACACTCAAGAAATCGTGGGCTTGAGCGTGTAGGAGAGTCAGGGGATCATCCGGCTTTCCAGCCGGGCCAATGTACAAATTTACACTCTAGAACAGTAATCCAGGAAGCTGGGTCCAGAGGATGGGTAGACACAGAGACCGCCAGTAAAATAAGCAGAAAGTCACTTCCCTAACCGAGACAAGAGCTGGTAAAGGCCTGGGAGCAGCAGAAACAGGGAGAAGGGGAGCAGGAAGTTCAACACCTCTTTTCTGACAAGACTGAAAAGAGATGAAAGAGAAAGAACAACAGTGGTCATGTCAGTAACCATGTGAAGGAGGAAGAGAGAGAGTGTTTTTGTTTTACTCTCCTTTTCCTTGAAGGGGAAGATGAAAGCTTCCTATTTTGAAAAACAGGTGTTTGTTTTTGTTCTGTTTTAGAGTTACCTGTGACTTTCACCACATTAAAGGTCCAGGAAGAACTCTGAAACAGGACACTAGTCCTCAAAAGGCACGTGACAGACAACTGAAGCTCTGATGACACATGAATTTCTAGAAGTAAGTGATTTCACAGCCCAAAGGGCACAGACAGAATCCAAATTCAGTTTTCAAATAACACCAGCCTGGGAAGGATAGAGGGATATGATGAGCAGAGAAAAGATGATGGCAACAAATCTGAACTTAGAGTTCTAAGGCCGTTACCAATTGCATCACACACTCCAAGACCACAAAACGATGTCAACGATCGTGACACTGATGACCAGGGTTGAATGCTACAGCACCACGAAATACGACATAAGAGAAAGGAGAGAAGCAGCCACATGGCAAATCACAAAGCCATTACTGACTACGTGAGAAATGTGACACTAAACAGGCTTTCCAAAGCCTGCACAAAAGGAATGGACAGCCCAACTGGGAAATTAGCAAGACCCAAGCACGGCTCCATCTGTTAGCGTATTATCAAGATTCCTCCTCTCTACACTGAGCTTTTGCTCTAGAAAATTACAAGGGCTGTGGTCATGCCTATATCCATCATCAACTAGTTATCTAAAGGGGGATACAGAAGCTAGGTTGCTGAAGAACACGGGAGAGGCAGAATTGCACTGGGCACTAGTTACGTAATGACTTATTTGGATCTGAAGTATTCCTATTTGTATCTGTGTGTGTCCCCATTTTGTTTTTTAAAACTGGGAAAGTGGAGACATCAGGCAAGAAAAGGTGAAGCCTTGTCATGAGGATGTGGGAGGGCATTAACAGCAAAAAATATGAAGTCACTAGATGTTCAACTTCCATTTGCACCACACCAACGGCTGTAGGAAAAGCAATGCTGGGCATGTTCTAAAACGTCATGCATCTCAAAATACTTTTATGCCTACCTTTTGTTGAAGTGGCAAGATGTAACAGAACAATAACTTTGGCAAAGTTGATATTGGACCCACTTCTGTCCCCAGTGACTACCCATATTACCCAGTAAGTGAACCAAATTCAATATGCTCTTTAGTAAAATGGATTGTTTTCATGGGTCCCTCACCAGATGTCTTTTTTATCTCCCTTAATTTGTGCGAGCACAGTGCCTGGCACCGGCAGACACTCCAGAGGACTTTACTACCTGTAGTTCCATGGGGGAAAGGACTCACTTCTTTAGGCCTCAATTTCCCCACCTGTAGTGATGATGCCTTAAAGGGTTGTTTGCAGATTAGATAATTAATGTAAAGTACTTTGTAAACCATATAGCGCAACACAAAATGTAAAGCCTAACTGTTTCCAGGCCTGGCATATATAGCAGCAACTTTTGGACTGAAAACAGCAGGTTTAAATGACTAGTAGCCAGTTAAGATCTGGTTGAGAATTCAGCACCCGCCCTAATCTCTCCCATCACCCCACACAGCCTGCTTATATCTCAACGTCCCCTCCGCAAGACAAGCTCCAGGCCTTCCCACCTCACCCTAATTTTCTTAATAGATAAGCAGAAGGGAGACCGCAAACGGGAGTGGCAGAAGGACACAATCAAGCGACTCGCCCAAGGTCAAAACACCAGGGTAGAAAAGGCAATGCAGGCTTGCCAGCCACCTAGGCCACGTCCCCCAGGGCTCCGTCCGCAGCCGACGCGGGGCGACCGGCTGTCCCCGGGCCGCAGGACGCAGTGTGGGGGCGCCCCTCGCCCTCCTGCGTGCACAGCGCGACGGCCGGCGGCAGGCCCGGGCTCCTTCAGCGCTGAGCTCGGCCCGGGCCCCGGCGGCCCCCGCGGCCCTGCTCCCCGCCCCACGAGGCCGGACCCCGAAACAAGACCCCAAGAGGTTAAGAGTCCCCACGGCCGGGCCCCGCCCGCGCTCCCTGCCACGTCCGCGGCCTCACGCACTATGGCGCTCCGGACCGGGGCTCCCGCCGCCACCGCCGCCACCGCCGCCACCGCCGCCGCCGCAGGGCCCGGGCCGCCCGGCCTCCCAGTCCCAGCGTCCCCAGGGCAGCGCCAGCCGGAGCAGGCCGCCGACTTCCTCTGCCAGCTCCGCCCTAGCCGCAGCCCCGGGAAGAGCCCGCCGCCACGGCTGACGGACGGCCTGCATGCCCAATCGGAACGGCAAGCGGAGGGGCCGCGCTGACGGACTGGCCCAGCGACCAATAGAAATGCGCTCACGCAGGGGGCGTGGCTACCGCTGGCGGGCTCCGCCCCGTCCGTGCTTCCGCTAGGGCTGGGGAGGCGAGCGGAAAGTTTCCCAGAGTTCCTCCGAGCTCCCGGGGACCGAAGGAGGGGTCGCGGCGGGGCGTGGGGGCTGACTGAGGTTGGGTGAGGGAGGGGCGGTGGGTGGGGACGCGCGGGGCCCCGCCCTCTCACTGAGGGCCCTCGGCGGCCCCGGGGAGGGCTCCCGCGACCGCGGGGCCCGCCTCCTCCTCCGGGCGGCGCTCCGGCCGGGTGGACCTCGGGGCGGGCTCGTCGGAGGCACCCGCCCACCTGAGGTGCCGCCCGCAAACGGAGTCCGCGCCGGCCGCAGCCCGGGAGCGCGTCCGCATCGGCCTGCCCGGCGCGTTGCCCGCTGAGGGACTGACCCCGCGCAGAGCAGCGGGGCCGAGGCGGGGGGCGTTCCGGGGTCGCGGGGCGCAGGACTGGGGGACCCGGACGCCCCGCGCGGCCATGGCGGCGCCCGGGGACCCGCGGCGGCTTTACCGGCTGGCGCAGGAGGGTCGGCTGTGCGCCCTGCGGGAGGAGCTGCGGGGAGCCGGGCGCGTGGGCTGCCTGGGGCCCGCCGGGGACACCCTCCTGCACTGCGCCGCCCGCCACGGCCATCGGGACGTGCTGGCCTACCTGGTGGAGTCCTGGGACATGGACATCGAGGCCGCCAACCGGGACTACAAGCGGCCTCTGCACGAGGCAGCCTCCATGGGCCACCGGGACTGCGTGCGGTACCTGCTGGACCGAGGAGCCGCGGTGGACTGCCTGAAGAAGGCCGACTGGTAGGTGGCCGAGCTCCAGAAAGACCTCTCCCCTGTCCCCTCTTCCGCAGACTCGACCTTCCCCTGCACGACAGACCACCCACCCATGGCGACCTCTATTCCTGCTCTTGCGGGGTTAACTGCTCCAACATTTTGTTCCAAACCCGCTCCCTTCACAATAGTACAGAATACGATGAAACAGGGTATTGTCCGTACTGCTATAGCTTGGGCCTCGCTTACCTGAATGAGTGCTTCACCATTGTTTGAACTTCTTACTTTGAAATAGTTAGGGGTGCACAGAAGGTTGCAAACCCACGTTGAGGTTAGCCCCCTGCGCCCACCCCCAGCTGCCCCCGAAGGTACCATCTTAACCCAGCTGCAGTACGATATCAAGACTAAGGAACTGACGTTACTTCAATCCATATACTCGTTCAGATTTCACCAGCTGTACCGACGCTCGCGTGGGTGCGGAGCTCTGTGTGGTTTTATCACAGGAATAGCCTTGCCTAACCACCTCCACAGTCCACATCCTCCCCTGTGCCCTCACACAAACCAGCAACACTTTGTTAGAGCAACATGGTGTTCAGTACTCACTCCGTGGGCCCCCTTAGGGGTTATGAACATCCTAAGATTCATAAGTAACGTAATGAAGTTACTGCCTGCAACAGATTCCTGATCCGATAGAAATAGGAGCCACGGCAGCGGATCATTAAATAAGGTGCATCTTGCTGAGTGGGAGGGGGAGTCAGCATGGGTATGTGTTGAGAGCTGGCTGCACTTTGGCCATGACTTAGCACGAGACTGCATTTTCTGCTGCTGGGGAATTGGTCTACAGACCTTTCCAAGAGACACATTACCTCATACGTGCCTCAAAACAATTCTGTGGGGAACTTGCCTCCCCCCCAAAAACCATTAAAGGGCAAGGTTCCTTTGGTGATGTATTTGGGCATCAAAATTTGGCATTTTTGCCCATTCTCACCTTCCTGGCTTTCTGCAGTACCTTCCCTGCTTTTCCAGTCTTCCTGTCTTGCTCGAGATTATTCTCCCTGTGAAGTCTTTCTGGACAGTTCCAGCCTTCATTTATCTGGATTTCCCCTTTTTACTATCACTGCTACATTACCTCCCCTCCAAAGTGTTGGCTAGTTAATTATTATTAGAGCAATCTTAGGAGCTAGATCCCAAGTGAGGCCTTGGAGGTCACCTAGGTATAGCGAGCCCCCGCTGTGTGCCGGACGTGGGTTCCCACCCCCGGGAATAAGGAGGTAAGGAAGACCTCCCCTTGCTTTCCCGGAGTTGGGTCTTCCTCACTTTGCACATAAGAAACCAGAAGCTCATGGAATTGAAATGGCTCGTCCGGACCATTTGTGTGGCAGGAAAGGAAGGAGAGAGTCACCTCCCTTGATATTAATGTAGTTTATTCCTGTAATTGTGGACACAAGTCAGATCAGACACTGATACAGTGTTTGGCTCGTGTCACCAGTGTGTGCTCCACGTAGGGAGGCACCGTGTCAGCTGTCCTTTTTTGATGCCTTTTCAGCAAAATCTAATTAAGGAACAGTCACTGATGAAAGCAAATGGGTTAAGTCTGGCAGGGCACCTTTGACATGGAGACTGCAAGACAGGCTGTCTGTGGTCTCGACTAGCTCTGCTCGGTCCAGTCCCATCCTGTAAACGAGTTCAGGAGCCGGCTTGCCTCCTCGGTGGCCCCCCGCTGCAGGGACTCCTGTCCCAGGGGCCTCACGGCAGGCAGCCAAGTTGCCAGTCAAAGCTGTTTTCCTGCTTCCAGACCCCCGAGTCCCCTGGGCTTTCCGTCTCTGCCACGGACATGTGATTTCCTGAGACCTGGTCGCCCGCTTCGGGAGTCTGCACCGCCCTCCCATCTGACAGCTTGTCCTGCTTGCTCAGGACCCCGTTGATGATGGCCTGCACAAGGAGGAATCTCGAGGTGATCCAGGACCTCGCGGAACGTGGCGCCAACCCGCTTCTCAAGAACAAAGACGGCTGGAACAGTGTCCACATTGCCAGCCGGGAGGGCGACCCTGTGATCCTCCACTACTTGCTCACCGTTTGCCCAGACGCCTGGAAGACGGAGAGCAAGGTCGGGAGGACCCCCCTGCACACGGCAGGTATGGCCCGGAGCCCCCCAGGGACGCGCGCTGGGCAGCTGCTTCGCCTGACGCCGCAGGGCGCCTCCTAGCTAGAGTGGCCCTCGCGGGTGGGGGGTTTGGAAACTAGAGGGCCGGGAACAAGAGCAGCCTTGGGCCATCGTGGGACACCGTGTGCCGCCACAGCTAAGGGAATGGGGCACATACGTTCTTTCTAGTGTTTGTTCACTTTGCGTGTGTGTCTGTGTTATTCTCCCCAGTTTCCCAGATGGAAAGCTGGTTCTGTGCCTTCCTGTCTTTGACCTTGGGCAAGGAACTTAGTCTCTTAAGCAAGTTTCCTCATCAGCAAAATAATGACTGTCACGATGCCCAGAGCACAGGATTGCAGATTTTAAGGAACGTGGCATATATAAGTCCCGTGGCCGGTGTCTGCCACACTGAGCACAGAACGGCCGGCTGTTGCTATTTTCAGCATCATTCTTACCTCGTTACTGTTTCAGGCGGGATGAAAAGAGATGGTATTTCCGCACATTCCGCAGCACCCACCACAGTGCTGGCCAAGTAAATAAATGTAGGTGCTTCTAGTTAAGTACCTGGGCCTGCGTGGATTTGACGTTATCCAGTGATAATGTCAATAAAAACATGGGGCACTACTGAGTGATTATCCCTGAATCTGAATTACCTGTTTGTAGATTATTTTAAATTAGTGGAAAGCAAAAAGTGCTGTGGTATAAAATAACACAGATATTAAAGACCTCAAGAGTCCAGATCAAGGAGTTTAGAAAACAAGGGTTCCTTGGTGATTCACTCGGTTAAGCACCAAGCTCTTGATTTCAGCTCAGGTCATGGTCTCACAGTTTGTGGGTTCGAGACCCACTTCGGGCTCTGTGCTGACAGCATGGAGCCTGCTTGGGATTCTCTCTCTGCCTCTCTTTGCCCCCCGGCCCCCCTCAAAAAAACTTTAAACTTTAAAAAAAAAGAAATTTAGAAAATAACCTTTAGCCTTCTGTGTAGTACAGTGAATTAGAATACAGGGCCGTAATTTCTTAAAACATGAATACCTATGACTTGATATAGTTTAGGAAATGCTTACAATTATTACAGCCAGAGAGGGCAGTTAGGAACCAAGAAATTCTTTCCAAAACTTTATAAATGAGGGACACCTGGATGGCTCCGTCAGTTAAGCATCCAACTCTTGATTTTGGCTCAGGTCATGATCTCATAGTCATGAGATTGAGGCCCGCTTTGGGGCTCCATGCCAAGTGTTTTTTAAGAGTCTGTCTCTCTTCTCCCTCTGCCCCACTCATGCACTCTCCCTCCCTTTCTCAATTAAAAAAAAAAAGGGGGGGAAATAAAAGCACTTTATAAGTCAGTAGAAAAACTTTTCTTTTTGCTCATAGTTGTTGGACCAGTTGCCATAGAAACCAGAAACAGCACCTAGCCATTCACAAAAAGAGACGGAGAACAGGTAGTTGAAGTCTTTATTATCAAGTGTAGTTATCAGTAGCAGAGGAATTAACATTCCTCGTTATTTTGTTGTGGATCACTATTAATACGTTTGACATTTCCTGCACAAAAACTGACCCGTCCTAAGGATCTGCAGCGCAAAATGAGGAGAAAGTTTAGAACTGAGAATTTGCCGTGAATGTGCTCAGAAAGGCAAGATAATCAGATGTTGATTAACATCTTTGCCACTTACCCAAAGTTTTATTTTTCTAGAGTGGTAACTGTGTATCTAATTTAATCACTGTTTCCCAAAAGTCATAGCTGAAAGGGTGGGGCAGAGAGAGGAGGAAAAAACAGTTTTATGCGTGCACCGAAAAACTGACTCTCAACTCTCTTCTCCCAGCAATGCATGGCTGTTTAGAGGCAGTGGAGGTGCTTCTACAGAGGTAAGAACAAAACAGCAAATTGAGGCAAGTATTCACTAATTGTGACCCTTAACATCGATGCTGTAAGAAGAGCCCAGAAAAATTGCGCAGAAAGAAACTACAGTGCCGCGAGGGGAAAAAAGTCATCCGTGGATCCGTTCACGCAACAAGGATTCGTGTATTCATTCATTCAGCGTCGCAGCTCTAAGCACTGTCCCAGAGGCACGGGCTACAAGAAGCCAGCCGGCCTGGGTCCCCCGCGTGGCGCTGCTCCCGTCCTGCGAGTGTGAGGAGTGCCGGGAATGGCAGGGTCCCTCCGGGAACCCAGGGCAGGGAGACCCCAGGGGTGCCTAAGCCGTGCTGTTACGGAGGCTGAGCGTGGCAGGCGGGGCCGCAGCCCAGAGGTGACACACCGCGCATGCTCAGGGCAGAGAGGGCGCGGGCGTCCGTGCGCCCTGGGGCGTCCGTGCGCTCCGAGGCCGCGGAGGAAGCCTGGACTCGGGCAGGAGCGCGCGCGACTCGAGGCCCTTCTCTGAGTATGTAAGATGCCACCGAAGGGTTGTAAGCCGAGTGGAGGGTGGACGGCAATACGAAGTTTGCATCGTTCAGGTGCTCTGGCGGGAAAGCAGAGGCTGGGTGGGCAGGGGAGCGGGAGCGGGTCGGTGAAGGGCGGGCGGGGTGGTAGCCGCACTGGGACGCGGACCAGCGGGGAAGGGGAGCGTTGGGAGACAGTAAGGTGGCGTCACCAGCTGTAGGTGAATAATTTGATCGGGGGAATGAGGGAGGGGTCCAGGATCGGTTTCTCGCCAGAGCAGCTACCGGAGGAGGGCAGGTTTGCGGGAAGATGGTGACGTCACTTCGGGGCACGTTGCGTTGCACGTGTCTGCGCGGCCCAAGCGGGGCCGTGGGTGGGAGCCACAGACACGCGTGGGGCCCGCGGGAGAGCGCGAGCCGGGCGGCAGCGACACAGAAGGGGCAGTGCGTGAACCCGGGAGACGGAGGGACTGCCCCGAGCGGAGAGCGCGGGGCTCCCAAGGGCGCTGTGTGGACGGAGGGAGAGGAGAGGCCTCTGAGGTCCTGGGGAAGCTGTGATGGGGGGGAGAAGCCGCAGTTCACCCCGGTGTTGCAGGCGGAGCGGACCCGCAGATGCAGAGGCGGCGAGGGCTGGCCGGCTGGGGGGGCGGGGGGGGCAGACAGGCCCGACCGAGGTGGGGCAGGCGGCCCCGGAAGGTGAGAGCCCAAGGGGCCAGGACAGCGGGGGTCGGGCAGGGGGAGAGGCAGGCGGGTCAGGTGGGGAGCAGGGCGAGGAGGGGGGTAGCCGGCGCAGGGAGGGCGGTGAGGAAGAGTTCGGCACCCCCGGGGCCGTGGGAAGGCGGAGGGGCCGGAGGCCGGACTGTGCTGGAAGGGGGGGGTGAGTGTGGGAGGAACGGTCACAGGTAGGACAGCGGGGCCGCAGGCAGGCAGACGCGGAGAGAGACCGGGCGTGAGGCGGGGAGAAGCCGGTGCATCCGGAGCCCGACGGAGAAGAGCGCGAGGAGGAGGGCGGGGCCGCAGGGCTGGGAACGCGGCAGACGGGAGGTCTGTGGAGAAGGCGGGGACGGAAGGCCGCCCTGGATGCTGCCGCAGGAAACGCGTGCCAGGTTGGAAGGGACGAAGGTGGTACCGAGATGACAGGCAGGAGGAGGACGGGCGGCGGGACAGCGGCGCGTAGGACGCAGGTGGGGGGGGCGGCTGAAGCCCGCAGGGCGAGCGGCCCCGGAGGGCGGAGAAGAAGGTGGGGGGCCGGGGAGGGGCGGGGTGTGGTGAGCACAGGGAGCATGGAGTGTGCGTCCACCTTCTACGTGGGTAGAGGTCACGCTGCCCTGACCCTGTGGTCGTGAGGTCTTAGGTTTTGCCCTTTGTGACGGAAATACAGGTTTGAAGCAGGCGTGGCCAGCCCTAGGGCAGCGGAGAGAGTGGATTGACCGGCGGGAGCCGGGGGAGGGAGATGGTCAGGGGGCTGTGTTGTGCACACGGAACTGAGATTTTGGTAACGGTGGCTATGAGGGTGGCTATGAGGGATCCTCTGGCAGAAGAAGCTGGGGAGGTGAGGGTCCATAAGACAGGGTGAGGAAGGTCAGAGGAGCAGCAGAGGTACTGGGGACAGCGGGCTGGCTCTTGGGAAGCGGGAGGGGAGCACGCTCCTGATTGGCCCAGCTCGTCCCTGCCGTGTGTCACCTACCGCGGGTTTGGGCTCCCCAGGTGCCAGTACCAGCCAGACTGCAGGGACAGCTGCGGCTCCACACCCCTCATGGACGCGCTTCAGTGTGGCCACATCGACGTAGCCAGGCTGCTACTGGAAAAGCATCAGGTACAGAAGTGGGCTTATGTCTTTGCTGCTTCCTCCAAGGTTTAGTTCAGGGAACAAACCGAGAGCAGTTATTCCAGTCCCAAGTTCAGGTCCCAGCTCTGCCACAGTTTCCCTTGGGGACCCCTTAACCTCCGGGGCCTTTAGTGTTTCCGCCTGTGACGTGGAGACACACGTAATTTCTTCAGGGGCTCCCTGTGAGGTGTGAATAGTGTGACACTGAGTGACAGTTTCACAGTGACAGTGGACTGTCCCCACAGGGTGCCCCTCTGGCTGGAGCGCTACGTGTCCACCTTCTGGTTAGAGAGTCTGTGAGGGTCTGGCACCAGCTGTGTTATCTGCCCAGGAAAACCTACGAAGGCCACAGATGTCAGAAGATCCGTGGACCTGGGTCTCTTTGCTCCTTACTTTTGTTCTTCTCCATCCCTCCCCCACCCCCCGCCCCCATCTACCAGGCCAGCGCATCTGCCCAGGACTCCCTGGGGGCACAGGCCATCCACAGGGCAGCGCTCACCGGGCAGAACGAAGCCATTCGCTTCTTGGTCTCTGAACTCGGCATGGACGTGGACGTGAGAGCAACATCGGGTCACCTCACCGCACTGCATTATGCGGCTAAGGTTTGTTCTTTCCCCGCGGGCGGACAGCTCACAGTCCTGTCTTCGGCTCCATCTCTGTGCATGAAGGAACCACCATGACCTGCCCCTGAAGTATCCCTTTAAATAGAAACCTGCCCTTATGTGTCTCTGGGTAAAACCTCAGGGCAAATCCTCTGCTCCAAGAAACGCCTGGATTTTGTGTTCATGCCTGCCTTTCCACCTTTGTACCTGCCTTTCCGGTTTCAGAATGCTGTTTGAAGCTGTAAAAATCCATTGTGTGAAGTTCCTAGCTCTGTCTTCATGCTAGATTTCAGAAGCTCAGACTTCTGTGAGGCTCTCCTGCTTAGAAAACGGTTAAGACGTGCAAAAGTCTTCGCTAGAAAAGTGGCTCCTTACAGCCCTGTTTTAAGTGTTAGGTGTGTTTTGCACATTGTCTTCAGTGGTTTTACTTATATTTCTGGCTCCAACAAGAATACATTTTTTTCTTGTGAATTGCACTCTCCTGCCTGCGCCCCCCCAGGAGGAATTTATGGGGGGTTCTCAGAGGGTGTGCTGAGGGCCACTGTGGTCCCGAGGAATCTAGCCAGTGGGTCCTAACACCCTAATGTGCAACCTCGACATCTGTCTCACTGTGTACTGACCACATACTGACAGACTGACTGGACAGGAAGCCTGTAAAGTGCTTGGTAAATGGTGACATGAGCCATGACAAGACTCCCATCTAGGGCGGGTTGCTGTCTCCTCCTGTTTATCCAGCAACAAGCACATTTGCTTGGAGAGATTCCGGAATTAGAAGTTCAGTATCAATCCGGATGTATGCTCCTTACGCTGAAGGAAACCCAACAGTATTAGTCGATAATTTGGCCTAGAGAGTAGATTCTTTGAATTCTAATAACCAAATGCCACCAAAGTCTTTAACGGTCTATACTAGAACTTGAGAGCCACACTAGTCTTCCTTTAGAGGTGAAAATTCAGTGTTAGCAGGTGAGCATTTTGGAAAAAGTACCTAACGTGCGTTAGTGTTTAAAGCCTCACTCGATTCCTTGTCACGGGGATAACAAGTGTATTTCAACACTCAGGAAGGACACGTGAGCACGATCCAGGTGCTCTTATCCTTGGGTGCCGACATCAACTGTAAAGATGCAAGAAATCGATCAGGTACGGCTTCTTACACGCTGCCCGGGAGCCATGAGTAAGCTGGAGGTAAACGGCACGTGGACTTTCTTATTAAAAGCACTGGTTTTCACGTTATGCTCCTGGTAGCTCAGCAACCTTTGTTTCCAATAACATCTGTTGGCAAAGCTGTGGGAATGTTGTGTTACCATGGCAGCGGCGATGCCTGCTGCTCATCGCCACTGTGTTGTCATCACCGGTGTCATCAAAGCTGCTGCTTTGAACCATGACAGCCTGACAGCCCGTGTGCCACGGAAGCATTTTCTACCCTCATCCATGGCGATGCCACTGTCCGAGTAGTACAGGCTTTTCTTAGGTTGCCTCTTTCTGGAACGTATTTGAAAACTGTAACTGCTATAATTTTTTAAAGCTGGGGCCCAGAAAGGTATTTTCAGAGCTAACCCTTTAGACTCAGACTTTAGAATAAACCCTCTGCTTAACGTCCTGTGCGCCAGCAGCCACCTTGCCAGTATGTTCGTGATGCGTCAGAATCTCCCTCCGAGGCTGCACAGGACGGTCCCCAAGTTCAGGGACACAAGACTTTCTCACAGAACATGGGATCCTGGGGCTCATGATACCAGAAACTTTCAGTGCTAGTTTTCCAAGGGAAGACACGTCAGTTTCTCTTTTTGTCCCATCATTTGTAACCATATTTTTATTTACATGAAAAGTTCACAAAACTTTGAAAATCTTTTCTTTGCCATTTAAAATTTCCTGTTTCTCGTTCATTAACTTGCTTTGTTGCTTTTGACAAATCTCTTAAATCTTCTAATTAATTGGTTGATGGTTTTAAAACCCAAGCAGGTTAGAAGGAAAAACGTTTTGTTCTAGCAGAGGCAAAGGGTAGGGACAAATTTACGGGAAGGTAAAACCCGTGTGGGAAGGAGTGTATTTGTAGGAACAGCCGCTCGTGGGGTGGGTGGGCGTCACGGTGGGGCTCCTGCGGCAGGTTTGTGTGGCCTCTGTCTCCCCGCAGCCCTGCACCTGGCCTGCGCAGGCCAGCACGCGGCTTGTGTCGAGCTCCTTCTGCAGTCTGGGCTGGGGGACTCCCGGGACGACACGGGCACCCTGGCTCAGCAGCTCACGGGCCGCCCAGACATCCTTCAGTGCTTCGACCGCAGCGCAGCGTCCTGAGGGCGCTTCTGCAGAGGACAGCCAAATGCGTGGTGATTCGCATCCTGCTCAGGGAGTCCGTGAAGTCGGTCAGTAGCCAGTGGCCCTGTCTCCCTTCCCCTGCCGTCCCGCTTCCCCCCGGGCTGTGAGGAGGCTGGCGTCCTAGCTGTGTGACCCACGGACCAATCTGGAGCCCCCTGAGTTTTTCCATAACCTGGATTTCGCTTTCTCTGCCTCACAAGTGAAATTAGATGATTACGAAGTCGGCCTCTGCAACCCTTAGAAATGCACGTAATTGCATGACTACAGTGGAGCATGTGTGTTGCGTGTATGTGTTCTGTGGTTAACGCTATGGGATAAGGCAGTGGTGAGAAGTGGCTTAGTATGAGCTATAAAACATAGCTGCCCTGTTTACTGTCTTTTATTTATTTATTTAGAGAGAGCCCGCACGAGACAGAGAGGATGAGAGAGAGTCCCAAGCGTGCTCCGTGCTGAGAGCACAGGGCTTGATCCCTCGAACCGTGAGATTGTGACCCAAGCGACATCAAGGGTTGGCCGCTGAACTGACCGAGCCACCCAGGCGCCCCTGCCTGATTACTTTCCTCTTCCATAGGCTTTTTCTGGGCCATTACGTTGGTTTCACTTTGGTCGGAGCCACAGGAAGGAGATGCTTACAACCTGCTTACACCGACATTTGCGAGGAAGTCATAACGTTTCTCTATTCTATGTGCTGTTGTTAAGCTATGATATTTTAATCTTGAGGTTATTTTTGTTTAATAGATTCAGTGTTGGCTTTCTTTGGGTAATAAAAACACCTAAAAATGCATCTAAGATATTTTCAAATCTTTGCTGTCACCTCAGTCGAAGAATGGAGTTCTTAAAACCTGCAGGTCACATTTCCCGTTCGTAACGCCTGCCCACCAAGGCCCGTGACTGTTCAGAGCAGACACTTGACATTGTACCCCCAGAATCTGTGGCAGCTGAAACAGATTGAAGACAGGATGACGCTAGGCATTTAGATTCTTTCCTTTTTTCTGGGGTGGTGGGTGAAGACCATTTTCTGAGGGGCACAGAATAATTAGTCCAAGTCAGTCTGTTAGAAAATCCCGTGCGTCGGTCACAAGGAGGACTTGACCCTGTTGTTTGCCGTGAGCCAGTGGGACCCACTAACACACCCACCCTCTCTCCGCGTCCTGCGAGGCTGGGTGAGTGGCAGGAATTTCTGGTCCTCCCAGACGATGGCGGCTCCGAGTCCTGACACACAGGTAGACCTTCTGGGAGGGCCACTCGGTTATGCAACACCGTCTCGTGACCTCTGAGTCACCTCAGTGAACATCTGTGTCAATCGGAGCTTCAGAGGTATCCCCGGGTCGCCGCCCCTGGGTGTGAAGATGGTTCCATCATGTGCAGGAGGGGGTGGAAGGATGGGTCTGGTGCGGCCGCACCCACATAACGTGGGCTCTGATGGGCGGCGGCTCCATGCCCATCGTTTACATCTGTCGCCGAGCTTCCGCCTTACGAGCTAGCAGCTGTCGGTGCGTGAGGCTGCGTCCCGGCTTCATGCCTTGTGACGTAGGCCATGAAGGCTGGTGACAGAGGCAGAGACGGTGCAGATGGTCCAGTAACAGTCGGCCCCTGTGGGGACGTGGGGACACTGCCTCACTTCCTAATTGTGGGTACAGTCTCCCTTGCTTTGGTCTTGAAATTCTGTCACCTTTCCGGGGAGCCCCCCACCCCAGACCACCCAGACTAAAACTTTGTCCTCCCCTCCTTCATTCCACACTTCCTTTCCCCCACCTTGTCCTCACCCTTAACCACCACCAAATATGCTACGAATTCCGAGTTATTTTCATTTACCGTATGCCCCCCACCGGGACGTCGGGCCGGGCGGGGGCTTCGTCTTGTGCTCACGCACTGCGTCTACAGGGCCCGTCCGGGACATGGTGCTGAGTGCCCTGCCCGGTTGGTCTCTCGGCGTCCCTGGCGTTGTGCACGATGCAGCCCCCCTAGTTTTTACTCCCCACCCAGCACCCCTTCCCGTCCAGACGTCTGCACCCGGTTCCCCCGCAGACACTGCCCACCCGCCCCAGTCTGGCCCTTTGCTGCCGCTCTGCAGGGTCCCCAGGGCCCCTACCTGCCCAGCGAGCAAGGTGTTTGTAGCCCGCATGTTGCCGATCCGTTCACGTCCCTTCGATTGCTGGTGTGACTCCGTCCTGCCCTCCGGGAGCGCGTTTCTCGTCACGGCTGATGACACACGCCTGCGCTTGTCCGATGTCTCTGTCTCCGTCCCCGGGGGGAGCACCTCTCCCGGCGCTGGTCCTGGGCGGCTGCCGTGCCCGTGCGCGTGTGTCCCCTCTCTGCGTGTCCTCCCAGCCTCTCGTCTGTCCCTTGCCCGACTGCCCCCCCCGTGCTCCCCCCCCCCCGTAACCCTGGCCCCCTGCTGCCTGGATGTCCTAGGCTGGCCCACAAAACCCTGCTGCGTCTGGCGCCGGCTTACACGCGTGCCTGCCTCAGCCAGCACGGTGGCGTCCCTGCAGCGCGCCCACTCAAGCTGGACGCCAAGCCACGAATCCGTGGCTCCTCCTGTGTGGAAAGCCGCGGTGAGTGGCTGCCTGCTTCGGGCCTTCGCGTTCTCATCCAGACCACCGCGGCGGCTCCTGACTGCCCTGTGCCCCCAGACCCGCCCTCCGCGGGACTGTCCTGGGGCGCTCGCTGATGTGGCCAGGGGCGCTGGCTGCTGAGGCCACGCGGGCCTCCCCGCCCCCTTCCACTGGCCCACAGTGAGAGTCTGGTCTAAGGTGACGAGGGCACAAGCCTCTGGAAGAAGACACCACTTGTAAGAATCGCAATCATTTGCAGATAACTATGACCTTACATGTGTAACTAAAAAAAATAGGCAAAAAAATATCTACAAGACAAAAATCAAGAAAAGGATGCCAAAACAGAAAAGAAATTACAGAAGTCAGGCCCAAACACAGGCCTCCGTGAGAGGAGCTCAGGGGCAGGGGTTGGATTTGCCCAGATGCTGCCAGAGACCGCCAGCAGGGGGCAGAGCAGAGACGTGGCCCTTGGGTTCCATCAGGTTTTAGGGCTCATTGTAAAATACAAAAAATAGTAAAGGAGAAGACAGAAATAACCTATTATCCCACTACCGAGAAATAACCACTCTTACTTCCTCCGGGTCTTTAAATGTTTATACCAGAGACGACGCCATATGCACGTTGTTCCCCCAACTTTATGTGGAAAGCATATCCCCACCCCCTACAAAACTTTGTGAACTTCTCTTTTAATCACTGATACTCCGCGGTGTTGCCGTCCGTATTTACTCTCTGCCAGTGTCATCTTTGTTTTGTGAAGAGAAGACAGGACAGCAGTGAAGCCATCAGACTGGACAGTAGGCAGGGGCGTCAGAACTGAAAAGGCTCAGGTCTGATCCCGGGTCAGGGCTGCTTGGGGCCGGGGCACAGCGAGGCTGAGTGTTCCTGTGCTATTTTGGAGACGCTGGTAGTGTGACCAGAAAGGAAAGGCAGGACGATTTAACAGAGATCTCCTCAAAGGGTGAGACAGCGTGTGTGTCAGACAAGGGCCGCGTGAGGGACGAGAACTGAAGCCGTGAGAGATGAAGGCTCGGTGGAGCCACGTTCAGGGGGTCGGGAAACGGGGTAGGAGGCCTGAAAGCTTCAGGGGCCTGGACGCCAGGATGCAGAGGTCTGCACGAGAGAGAAGACAGGATGAGGAGAAAGTTTCAGGTGTGAGGCTGGAGGAACACATGTTCATGTTAACTTCTACTTGGTGTTTTTATAGACTTTTTGAAACTCCTTTCCTGAGCCAGCAAGGCTGTGGAGGACGGCAAGACCCAATTACAGGTTGATGTGGTTTTTATTCAGAAGGAACAAGGTACAAGTGAGGGCTTAGCTGCGGCAGGAAGGATTTGCTCAGTGCACGCGATGGAGGCCCGTCCTAGAGCGTCTCCAGAGTGTTCATTCCCTTGGCTTTCCCTGAGAAAGGGGCTTGACTCTATAATGCGGACGAGGCACAAGAAACACTGGGGAGGAGTCACATCATCAACCACCCAGGTTCTGCCCCTGTGCCTTTTCTGGCCTGAACGCACCAAGCTGCGTCAAGTGCAGGCATTTCTGCCCGCCTCCTGGGGCGCTCTTCTCGTCCTCCAGCCTGTCTCTAAAGCGCCCAGTGTGCTGGAGGGTGAGGGGTGTGCTGCGCTCCCTGAAGCAACATTTGAAAACACAGTAATCGGGGGCGCCAGGGGGGCTCAGTCAGTTAAGCGTCCGACTTCGGCTCAGGTCATGATCTCACGGTTCCTGAGTTCAAGCCCTGCGTCAGGCTCTGTGCTGACAGCTCAGAGCCTGGAGCTGCTTCCGATTCTGTGTCTCCCTCTCTCTCTGACCTTCCCCCCCCCCCTCATAAACAAACGTTTAAAAATTTTTTTTAATTAAAAAAGAAAACACCAATTGTAACTACTCCTGTGCAGGGTTTCACTGTTCTGGGTGTTTTCACAGGGTGGAGACCCCGCAGAGTTTGGTTTCCACAACAGACTAGAATCTGGCTTCCTGGATTTGGAAACTAACTGTGTGACCTGGGAAATTTATCCTAGAATCTCTGAGACTCATTTTACCTAGGGACCCAGACGGTACGCTAAAAACCAGCTACGTCTGTAAATCATCAGGCGGTGGGGACTTCCTGGAGGGAAAATGAAGCAAAGAAGGGGCAGGAAGTGTCAGGTGTTGGCTGGGGGACTCATGGGGGACATCTTGTGTGCAGCGCTCTGGGGAGGTGATTCCGGGTGCGTGGGCTTCAGCTGCACAAGCATGAGGGGGCCACATGCCCCCCATGTGCAAGGGGGGGCGGGGAGCCTGTGGCCAGCACGAGGGAGCGGGAAGGGGGGCTGGGGGCTGGGCCCTTTGGGACCATTTTCCTCTGGGCAAGGAGGAGGAAGCCACGTAGGGCTGTGAGCAGCCGCGCGATGGATTGGCCCTAATGCTTGCCGGGGTCATTCAGAATGTTGCGTGGAAGCAGGAACCTGGTGAGGGGACGTCACAGCAAGTCACGTGAGACATGGTGACTTGCAGCAGGGTGGCGGGCGGCCAGGCGAGAAGGTGTCGGGTCCGTGTCCAGGGAGACGAGCAGCGCTTGCTGGGGCTTGGATGAGGTATGTGAGAGAAACAGGAAGGGAGGCAAGTCTGAGGACCTGAGCAAACGGGACAGAATCACCCCTTCCTGGGCCAAGAAGGGCAGAGTGGGGCGCGCTGGGGAGGAAGGTCAGGCTTTGGGTGGTTGCTTATTGGGTGCAAACTGCCCGGTCGGCGTCCGAGTGGGGATCCAGTAACTAGTTGGACGGGAGGTGAGTTCGGGCGTGCGGGCTGGGCTGGGGTGGGGTGAGGTGATTTGCATCCCTGACAAGTTCAGGGACGCTCATGTGGATGCTGGCGGTCTGGGCCACGCGTGAGAGCCCCCGGGACAGGGACACGCAGCGGAAGGCTGTCTTGTGCCTTCCTCTTCCAGCCACGTCAGCTGTGCAGGTTCATACAGAGCAGGTGCAGACTTCCATGTCCTCAAGATGGGGGACATTCTGCCAGGTAAGTGCAGCACAGGGTTATTCGGCATAATATCTAGTGCATGGTGTGTGCCCCAAACCCGCCTGCCGTCAGAGAGAGGACCCCCCCAACATCCCTGGATCTGCACACAGTGGTTAGGAGCCCACACACCCAGACCCGGTGCGTGACCTTGGCCTAGCTTCTTAGCATCTCCAAACTCATACCTTCGTGTGCAGAAGGAGGCAGTAACACATAACTTCGGGGAGTCGTTGGA